CCAGCTACTAGAAAGGAAATTAACTCTATCCCTGCCGAAACCAGGACAGCATGAAACACTAATGTAGTAAAGGGGGAAAAAAGAAGTCCCTCAAAACTTTTCACAAGTTTGGGGCTCTGAGCTTGCCAGCCAGCTCACGGTGCCGATGTCGTTCCCTTGCTCGCTCTCAGCGCCGCCAGAGCCCAGCTCCGAAATTGAAAACGTCCAGCGACTGTTCCCACACGAAAGGTGCCAGGACTGCAAGCTGTCGCTGGCCCTCACCTTCCCTTGACACCCCTTCCACATCCCCACAAACACTGGGGCTGTGAGCTTGCCAGCCAGCTCAGGGTGCCGACGTCATTGCCTTGCTCGCTCTCAGCGCCGCCAGAAACCAGCTCCAAAATTGAAAATGTGAAACTTGAAAACTTGTGTTTGAAGTGTTTTGCTGGCTGTCCCCAGTCTCTCAGGGACAGGTATATAGGAACTGAGGCTGAGCATGTAAAAGGAGCATTGAAGAGAAAGTTACAAAGTCATTTATGAGGTACTGGCCATTTTATCTGTTTTCTAAGGGATAGCATCTAGTCTTGTGCAACTAAATATTCAGGAGTTTACGGATTATCAAGCTATGTAGAAATATTTAATAAGGAATTGGGAGTCTGATTGTAGTCAGCCAAATTTGAAAAGTCATGAATCAGTGAAAATTAAATATCAAAAGAAATCAGTCTTCGGTTGTATTGATATTTTTACAGCCTTATCCATTCTTTTAAATCACCTTAGCCCTAGTGTTAATGTACCAACAATACATGTAAAAACGGGTCATGACCATAAATTATGCACCTTAGATTGCTAGAGATTTGTGAGACCGCAGAGAAAAGAAAGGCTTTATAAATGTCTAGAAAGAATAAATTGCAAATGAGTTTTGATTCATATATAAAAAATCCTTAATACTATATGGTTTCCAGTTTATTCTGCAAGCAAAGGTTAATGAGCTTTGATTTTGGGGGATAAAATAGCTGTGGCCAGTTGCTAAAATTTCAGATGCCTTAGGAATTGATTGTAATTAATAACTTAACAATATGAAACAGTTTCACAGTTTTCGATGAAGGTAAGATGTTCTGCGCAATATAGACTGAAGTCCTGGAGTAGTGTTGTTATTGTGCCTTACACTGCGGAGAACTACACCCCAATTTGCTTACCTGTTTCCTTTTCCTCGGTTTACCCGGTTGGTGGTCTTCTGGGTGCAGTATATATAAGAAGTCCTCCTCATTTCATAGGTCACTTGTTCAGTAACTCTTTGCCTGTGTGAATTGTGATCAAAATCATACCTCAGATGTCAAAATAGCACTTACGCCAGGCTGTCATTTGCCTCTTTGATGCTTACTTACCCAACCAGTAGCAATCATTATTTTCCTTCTACAATTACTATAATGGAGCTGATTCCTGAAATGGAAAACAGAAGGCAGTTACAGACAGTTTGAATTGTGCTGTCACACTTTCATGGGCAGGCACCTTTCTTGGAGCTTTGATATTTCTTCGAGTTTGCCCAGAAATACGTTTGATAAAAGAGGGAGTCGGGCATCTGGTCTGTATTTTCATGTGACCCTGTTTCAGCTGCTTGGAAATACAAGATTATCCAAATAGGTACTTTCTGGGTCCCTGACTTGTTTTATACGAAATGTGAAGGGAAAAAAAATAAAATGGACCAACCAAAAACCTTTTTTAACTGGAAAATTTCAAACCAATTAAAAATCCAGCTGAGCTCAGTTGAACTCCTAAGACATTATTGAAATAGAGGGAGGAAAAAAGAAATGATGAACAGAAATATTGAATCTTACGATGCAAGATCATTACACCTTTGTTTAGTTACATCTTCACCACTTAGGCCTCTTGCAAATGTCATCAGATTACAGTTTTAATGGATGTTTTTACTTTTGAGTATCTACCATGTTAGCGTGCTGAACTGAACAAGGTTGCAAGAGAGAAGAGTTTCTTATTCTTTCCGCTTGGATTTTCAGCTGAAATAGCAACTCAACATCTGTAACTTGTGCTGCAGTTAAAAGTCCTCATATTCTGGGGGATCTTGGTGTTTGCAGTCAGGTTGAGAATGGTAATGGCAGGCGCAGCAGGGAACTTGGATTCAATATGCTGAATGAGAAGGTGAGTGTTTTAGCACAGCTGCCTCCTGAGGGTCAGGGGAAAGGAAAAGCCCAGTGGGAGGATTTTCAAGCACCACTGAGCTTGCACACCAGCAGACGATGATTGACTTTAGAAAAGCCCTGCTGTGCAACGGATTGTTGTGGTCCCCTTTATCACTGGTTAGACATTTCTTTTAAAGAAGCCAAAAATGGGAGAGTAGTGAGATAGCAGCAAAACAAACAAATAAAAAAATAATCATCAAACAACTCTCTTCGATGACATTGAGGTCTGGAGATTTGTTTCTGTTGCTAACAGCTTCATTGATTTGGCAGTTAATTTCATTAGAAAGATTGACTTTTTATGGCATTGGTAAGATTTCTGTATGAAAAGCTGACGACCTGATGATGATGCAGTGCAGGTTGAATTGTTGTTTGTATTGAAAAGGGATATTAATTTGAACCTCAATATAAAGAGGAGATTTCATTTGTATTTGGTATGTACAATCAGAAATATATAACACAGTTTCAATCTTACTATGTGCATTTCTTCACAGGAGTTCAGACATGCACCACGGAACGGCACGAACTGGAAAGCACACCCTTCTGCTGAGATCCCAGTGAAAACACCTCTCAGCTCATGGATGGCTTTGCAGCTCCCATGGCAACAAGAAGGAGGTGGACTGAAGATACTATCTGTCAGTCTGGCTCTACTGGCAGTTCTTGTTATGTTTTACTACGGAGGAATGAAAACAGAACTGTGAACTGAATGAGGCTTTTATGAAAACAATAAAACTGCTGTTTAAAATCTTCAAAGGAAACACTTTTACCAACCTTTTTTTTAAAAAAAGCTAATATAAATTGGGCAATAATTTGTACTCACCCTATGCCTTTCCTGTCATTCATAGGAGAGAATGTTAATAAGCTCTAGGGAGACCTATCTTGCCAAAATTTGAGATCCTTCGTTGGCAGAACAGTTTGTTGCATCTTTCCTCTTCTTTTTTCTAAAATGATGCAATGTTTGCATTGCTTACTCTTTTCATAACTGCTGTAGCAGGTAAAATTGCATGCAGGAAACTCATGAAGTTTGTAAGAAATCTTTCCATTGAGTGATGTTGGTGATTTTTATGGGCAGAACATTTAAAGCTTTCTTAAAGATTTTGCTTAATGCAGTGTGATGGTTTGATATGTGTCTTTTTACATGAGAATCAAACACTCCTGGGCCATTAAAGTTTGTCATTTGTTGCTATTGATTTTGCTGTCATGTCTGAAAGAATTTTTGGACTGCCATCTTGCCTCTCTCAACTTCACAATGAGTTACTAGGCTTTGTTAATACAACAAGAATTATTCTTTTACATAGAAATAGTTTTAAAGGTATTGGGTTTTTATCACTGAATGGGAAGGTGGAGTTCTGGTGGTAGAGTTCTGTTAAAAGATGGATTTAATACAGTCTCTATAGATTTAGTATAATGCTCAGAACTAAATGTAAATCTCATATTAGCTGTGCATTGGATCATGCTGTGTATAAGACAATATTGCTTTGTTAGTGGGGAGGTTGCAGTTTGCACACTGCAAATTTCTAATTACTTTCTTCAAGCCATTTTTGTCATGACAGGATCTCCATGCATCTTGAGATTGTGCTGGTCAGTCAGGGAATGGTCTCTGTGCCCAGTTCTGCCAGCACCTGACTGCATGATATTCTTCGTTCTTTCATGCTTTGTCACCTTTCTGGATCTTCATCCAAACTTCCACTTGCAAAGTCTGTTTAAAATCTTAAGAGCAGGAACTGTATTTTTTTTTAAATATGTTTGTGTTGTACCCAGCACAGACGGAGCTGAGCTGCCTACATGGCTGTTGTGGTTTAACCCCAGTAGGCAGCTAACACAGAGC